CCCCTGGCAAAAAAAAAGTGTTCTACAACCACTTACTTCGCGTAATGGACGAGCCGCCCCTGCTTCTACCCCGCCCTTCTCAACCCCCTGAGGGGGACTCAGGGCGGCTTCCAACTGGCATATGTTTGATGCCTACAATTCAACACAAGAAAATACTTAGTAACAATAATTATAAACAATTAAAGCATTACATTAATACAATAAAAAGCTAGCCTGGTGGCCATCGTTTCGCCAAGTCCGTAATTAATAAATTCATTCCGCTTATCATTGTCTGTTTCCAAAGCTTTAATCGCCATTGTCCTTGTCAATCTGCCAGATTACCCAAAGGCCTGGTCCCATATCCATGTTTTAATTTCCTTCTGAAAGAGAGGAGGGATGACGATGATCTAATTTCCCCAGGGAGTGAATTCCACAGGTAGGGGGCCACCACCAAGAAGGCCCTGTCTCTCGTCCCAATCTCATCTGTGACAAGGGCGGGAGAGCAGGGCCCCTCCAGAAGATCTTCAATTCCTAGGCGGGACGTAGAAGGAGATACGGCATGAGATAGATGCTCAGTGTAGACATGCATAACGCAGCCTGGCAGCCCATGCCCAAAGGGGATTGGAGGGCAGCACAGCTCCAGCCTGGGCCACCTGCTTCTCAGGCAGATGTGATGCTCTTCTCATTCCCTCCTCTGGACTCAGGGGGCGCATTGGTGATCCCCCCTCCTCCTTCCAGCCATCCAGAAGGCTCCTCCCCTGAAGGTCTCTCCTCCTCCTCCTCTCCTTTCATTCCTCCCTCTTTCTCTCCCTCCTTCTTTCCTCCTGACTTTCTGGGAAGTGGTCCTGGCTGTTGTTCCTCCTTCCTCCCCATCTGCCTGATCTGCTCTTGAGAAAGAGGTGGGTGTTTGGGGGAAAGGGACCAAGAAGGAGGGGGGAACATCAGGGAAGGAGGACACTGATGCGCCCCCTTTTTCTCCCCATTCACCCCTTTTTTCTCCACCCCCCCCCCCCCCCGCCTGATACAGAACAATGTATCCATCTGCTTCCTCTCCCTCTCTCTCCTCCTCCTCTCTCCTCTCTGAACCTCTGGATGGGATTTCTCAATGGGAAGGAATTAATGTTGTCTCCACGGAGGGGAGGGGGGCATACAGTGGTGATTTGGCAAGCTAAGAGCCCCCCATCCCCCTTCGCCTGCCTGCCTCTTCCCTATTTCTCTTGGTGCTGCTTGGGGTGCCTCTGTTCCTCCTCCCAAGGTTTCCTGGAATAGAAGAGACACCCCTGAGATGAGAGGCAGGGACAAAGAGGGGGGGTGTTGTTGGAAGATTCTCTCCTGATGTTTCTCCTGCATCTATGGAAGGCATCCTCAGAGGTTGTGACATCTGTGTGACCTCACAATCTCTAGGAATGCCTGCTACAGAGGCAGGCAAAAGGTCAGGAGAGAATGCTTTTGGAACATGGCCCGACAGCCTGGAATAGTCACAACAACCCAGTTCTTCCTCCCACCCTGGACCTTCCAGATATATAAACCTTCCTTATTCTAGTTTGCAACAGAACTCACAACTTCTGAGGATGCTTGGCATAGATGTGGGTGAAACATCAGGAGAGAATGCTTCTGGAACATGGCCATACAGCCAGGAAAACTCAACAGCAACCCAGTTATTGGTTGTTGTAGGTTTTTTTGGGCTATATGGCCATGTTCTAGAGGCATTCTCTCCTGATGTTTCGCCTGCATCTATGGCAAGCATCCTCAGAGGTAGTGAGGTCTACTACAGAACTCACAACCTCTGAGGATGCTTGCCATAGATGTGAGTGAAATGTCGGGAGAGAATGCTTCTGGAACATGGTCCAACAGACCGGAAAAATCACAACAACCCAGTTCTTTCTCCCACCCTAGACCTTTCAGATAAATATACCTTCCTTGTCCTAGTTTCCAACAGAACTCACAACCTCTGAGGATGCTTGCCATAGATGTGGGTGAAACGTCAGGAGAGAATGCTTCTAGTACATGGCCATACAACCAGGAAAACTCAACAGCAACCCAGTGATTCTGGCCATGAATCTTTCAACAACACCATCATCATAATAATTGTTGAGCAAGTGGGCTTAATAACAAAAGACCCTCCCCATAAACAGTATTCCCACCCAACTGTTTATTTATTTATTTATTTATTTACAGCTTTTATATTCCGCCCTTCTCACCCCGCAGGGGACTCAGGGCGGATTACAGTGTACACATATATGGTAAACATTCAATGCCAATTTTTGACATACAAACATATACAGACATACACAGAGGCTATTTAACTTTTTCTGGCCGCCAGGGGAGCTGTCGCTTTCATCGTCCATCTGCGACGCTGATGAAGCACTTCCGCATTCCCCGCATGCTTCCCCGCTGGAATGCTTTGCTGGAGTCTTCTTTATGGCCTCATAAATCAGTTAATTTAGCCTCCCCACACTTTAAGGTGGTACCTAATTTTCCTACTTGACAGATGCAACTGTCTTTCGGGTTGCAAAGGTCGACAACAGGCTACACACAATTGGTTGGAAACCCACTCCAACCCGGGCTTCTCCAGATCCTCTAGTGCTGTTCTATGGCATGCTAACGTAGGTTTTGTCATGATTTTAGGTATTCATAGGGGTACTCATTCATAGAATAAAGAGGCCTCTCTGTAGTAAAATAATATAGTAGTACTATATACAATAACAAGGTTTCCAAAACACAAATCAACAAATCTATAGTAGCTTTACCTGCAGCCACCTTCATACTGGAGCTCCCTCACAAGGCTTCTGCTACACAGAAGTTTACCTCAGACAGATTGAGAAGTTCCCTCACTGTGGCAAACTAACACTAACAGGCTTCAGCCTACTCACTCTCCTCAGGACAACACTAGCTTTGGCCCACCAACTATAACAGGCTTTGGCCTACTCACTCTCCTCAGGGCACACTAGCTTTAGTCCACTAACTCTGACAGGCTTCGACCTACTCACTCTCCTCAGGGCGACACTAGCTTTGGCCCACTAACTCTAACTGGCTTCGGCCTACTCACTCTCCTTTTGTCTTTGGTCAGCTAACTCTAACAGGCTCCAGCCTACTCTCCTCAGGGTGATGCTAGCTTTGGCTCACTAACTCTATTTATTTATTTATTTACTTACTTTATATGTATACCGCAGTTTCTCAGCCCGTAGGCGACTCAACGCGGTTAACAACAAGAGCAAAAATTCAATACTAACAACATACACTATTTAAAAACAATTAACACCGTAATATACTGAGTAATTGCACATCAATAGACAACACATTAACATCTCGTGACTAGAATCGTGATCCAACTCATCATCCGTAATTCCGTTTTCCTATATTCAGTTATATTCATAGCACTGTCTATCCAAACACCTGTTCAAACAGCCAGGTCTTCAGTCTTCTTTGAAACACCATTAACGAGGGGGCTGATCTAATGTCCATGGGAAGGGCGTTCCACAGCCGGGGGGCCACCACTGAGAAGGCCCTGTCCCTTGTCCCCGCCAAACGTGCCTGTGATGCAGGCGGGATCGAGAGCAGGGCCTCCCCAGAAGATCTTAAAGTCCTGGTGGGTTCATAGGCGGAGATCACTCTAACTGGCTTTGGCCTACTCACTCTCCTCAGGGCGACGCTAGCTCTGGCCCGCTAACTCTAACAGGCTTTGGCCTACTCACTCTACTCAGGGCAACACTAGCTTTGGCCCACTAACTCTGGCTTCGGCCTACTCATTCTCCTCAAGTAGATGCCCACTAACTCTAACATGCTTCGGCCTATTCACTCTCCTCAGGGCAACACTAGATTCAGCCTACTAACTCTCCTCAGGGCGGCACTAACATTGGCGGCCCACTAACAGGCTTTGGCCTACTCAGTTTCCTCAGGACGACACTAGCTTTGACCCACTAACTCTAACAGGCTTCGACCTACTCACTTTCCTCAAGCAACACTAGCTTTGGCCCACTAACTCTAACTAGCTTCGGCCTACTCACTCTCCTCAGGGCGACGCTAGCTCTGGCCCACTAACCCTAACAGGCTTCAGCCTACTCACTTTCCTCAAGTAGCACTAGCTTTGGCCCACTAACTCTAACTAGCTTCGGCCTACTCACTCTCCTCAGGGCGACGCTAGCTCTGGCCCACTAACCCTAACAGGCTTCAGCCTACTCACTTTCCTCAAGTAACACTAGCTTTGGTCCACTAACTCTGACAGGCTTCAACCTACTCACTCTCCTCAGGGTGACGCTAGCTTTGGCCCACTAACCCTAACAGGCTTCAGCCTACTCACTTTCCTCATGTAACACTAGCTTTGGTCCACTAACTCTGACAGGCTTCAACCTACTCACTCTCCTCAGGGCGATGCTAGCTTTGGCCCACTAACTCTGACAGGCTTCAACCTACTCACTCTCCTCAGGGCGACGCTAGCTTTGGCCCACTAACTCTGACAGGCTTCAACCTACTCACTTTCCTCAGGACAACACTAGCTTTGGCCCACTAACTCTAACAGGCTTCGACCTACTCACTTTCCTCAGGACAACACTGGCTTTGGCCCACTAACCCTAACAGGCTTCGACCTACTCACTCTCCACAGGATGACGCTAACTTTGGCCCACTAACTCTTAACAGACTTTGGCCTACTCACTTAACCTCAAGCAACACTAGTTTTGGCCCATTAACTCTAACAGGCTTCGGCCTACTCACTTTCCTCAAGCAACACTAGTTTTGGCCCACTAACTTTAACAGGCTTCAGCCTATTCACTCTCCTCAGGACAACACTAGCTTTGGCCCACTAACTCTCACGGGCTCTGGCCTACTCACTCTCCTCATAATAACCTCTAGGAAATAACCACATTTCCCCATGCTCCTTGTGAATTAAAAGGCATACAGAGAGTTGGACAAATTATTTCTGTTTATAGAGGAATCCTTTCTGTCTTCCTTGCAGCTCTCAATCCCATTTGAGGAGTGGCTGTGTATTTCACTCAGGAGGAGTGGGATATCCTCGATCACCGCCACGGGGCTCACTGCAAGCAGGACAGAATGGAGGAGCGTGGGAATGTGGTTTTTCTGGGTAAGGTGTATATTTAATTTTCTGTGGACACGTCTCAAAGGGACAGAAATGTATGGCTGGTTTTATTTGTCGTGTCAGGGCAACCAGTCAATTGTATTACATTTCTAACAGAACAAAGCAAACAAACAGACAAAACACAAAATTTGCAAGTTTGGTAGTTGATTAAATGTCCTTTGACCAGTATCTGGCCACTTGGAGTGCCTCTGGTGTTGCTGCAAGAAGGTCCTCCATTGTGGTGGCAGGGCTCAGGTTGCATTGCAACAGGTGGTCAGTGGTTTGCTCTTCTCCACACTCGCATGTCGATTCCACTTTGTGGCCCCATTTCTTGAGTTGGCTCTGCATCTCGTGGTGCCAGAGCACAGTCTGTTCAGCGCCTTCCAAGTCGCCCAGTTTTCTGTGTGCCCAGCGGGGAGTCTCTCATTTGGTATCAGCCATTGATTGAGGTTCTGGGTTTGAGCCTGCCACTTTTGGACTCTCGCTTGCTGAGGTGTTCCAGCGAGTGTCTCTGTAGATCTTAGAAAACTATTTCCTGATTTAAGTCGTTGACGTGCTGGCTGATACCCAAACAAGGGATGAGCTGGAGATGTCTCTGCCTTGGTCCTTTCACTATTGGCTGCTACTTCCCGGCGGATGTCAGGTGGTGCAATACCGGCTAAGACAGTGTAATTTCTCCAGTGGTGTAGGGCACAGACACCCCATGATAATGCGGCATGTCTCATTAAGAGCCACATCCACTGTTTTAGCATGGTGAGATGTGTTCCACACTGGGCATGCATACTCAGCAGCAGAGTAGCATAACGCAAGGGCAGATGTCTTCACTGTGTCTGGTTGTGATCCCCAGGTTGTGCCAGTCAGCTTTCGTATGATATTGTTTCTAGCACCCACTTATTGCTTGAGTGAAGTTAATAGTGGAAATAAACCAGATTTGAATACATGTTCTTAGCTCGGAGGAAAGAGAAGAATAGTGATTAGTCTTAATTCCCAAGAAGATCCTAGGCTTCTTTGTTCAACTCCTAATAGAATGAACTTCTTTCTCAAATAGGTAACGAGAAGGAAGACCCTTTGGTGGAGTCCTCTACGGTGTCAAGGGAAACAGCTGAGACTGTGGTGGAGAAAGAGGAAATGGTGAATCAAAAGGGACGGAAAAAACAAAAGGGAAATGGATCAAAGAAAGGAAAGAAGAACTCTTCTGCTCCTCAGGAGGAGAACAATTTAGAACTCTTGACAATCCAAAGAAACCACAAAGGAAAAACAAGGGTACGATGTTCTTTATGTGGAAAAATATACCAGAGTATAGCTTCCTTGAATGTACATTACAGAATCCACACGGGAGAGGAATCACATAAATGCACAGAATGTGGGAAGGCCTTCTTTCAGAAAAAGAATTTACATGTACATCAAATAACACATACTGGGGAGAAGCCGTATCAGTGTGTGGAATGTGGAAAGAGGTACAGACGAGGTTCCCATCTACGTACCCATCAAAGAACACACACAGGGGAGAAGCCACATAAATGCATGGAATGTGGGAAGAGCTTTGGTCAGAAAGGAAATCTACAGATCCATCAAAAAACTCATACAGGGGAGAAGCCATATAAATGCATGGAATGTGGAAAGAGTTTCTCTCTAAAAAGTGGTTTAAATGCACATCAAAGAACACACAAAGGTGAGAAATCTTATAAATGCTTGGAATGTGGAAAGAATTTCTCTCAAAAAGCTGTTTTAGATATGCATCAAAGAATCCACACAGACAAGAAATCGTATCAGTGCATGGAATGTGGAAAGGGCTTTTGTCAGAAGGGAAATCTACAGGCACATCAAAGGACTCACACAGGAGAGAAACCATATAAATGCATGGAATGTGGAAAGGCCTTCAGTCAAGGTGGAGATCTTCATATACATCAAAGGATTCACACAGGAGAGAAACCGTGTAAATGCACAGTGTGTGGAAAGACCTTCTCTTGCCGTCCAAATTTACAGAAACATCAAAGAATCCACACTGGGGAGAAACCATATCACTGCAAGGACTGTGGAAGGAGCTTCACTCAGAATGCACACTTACGTAATCATCAAAGAACCCATACTGGGGAAAAGCCATTCCAGTGCGTGGAATGTGGAAAGAGTTTCACTCAGAGTGGCGATCTGCGTTCACATCAAAGGACCCACACAGGAGAGAAGCCATACGAATGCACTGAATGTGGAAAGACGTTCAGTTTTAGACATAGTTTACATTCACATCGAAGAATGCACACAGGGGAGAAGCCATATAAATGTACTGAATGTGGAAAGACCTTTGCTCGGAACGAAACTTTACGTGCACATCAAAAAACCCATACAGGAGAGAAGCCACATAAGTGCGTAGAATGTGGAAATACTTTCTCTCATGGTCAGAATTTACGTTCTCATCAAAAAATTCACACAGGAGAGAAACCATATAAATGCATGGAATGTGGAAAGAGTTTCTCTCATGGTCAAAATTTACATTCCCATCAAAGGACCCACACCAGAGAAAAGCCATATTAGTGCATGCAATGTGGAAAGCATTTCAGACAAGCTGCACTATTTGTGCATAAAAAATCACATGCGAGGAAATAACCATATATATAAATGAAATGTAGGAAGAGCTTGAGTCAGCATAGTTATGTTCATACACATCACACAACTCACACAATGGGGGAAACCACATACAAGTATAAAATATGGCGTCACTAAATCTCCCAAACAGCAATGATTTGAAGTAAGTCGTATAAGATGCTTCATAGATGTTTGTTGACACCAGGGAGACTTGTGTAATGGCAGCCTAGTAAATGCTGGAAATATGAGCACAATCTTGGGACATTTTAGTATTTGTGGTGGTCTTGGGGAAAGGTTCAGAAAAATTGGACTCAAATACACTTGATGCTGGAAGAAATTGTGAAAGAAATTCACAACGTGGGTGAGGCTTTATCTACTCAGAATGCCTGGTGTCTACTTAGAAAATACACAAGTTTACTATAATATATGAGCAGCAAATTGTTTACGCTCTGAGATGGGATGAACCTGTTGCACCTCAGCAGGAGTTCACCTTGCTCACAGCACTCACCAAGAAACCAAACATAGTAATAAACATAGTAGTAAGACCTCACTACC